GATGCTCTCTGGGAAGCACCAAATCAGGGAATCAGCCCTCTACACTCTACCATTTCCATCTGTCATAGGTAGGTTTTTCCTACAAACCAGGATGTGTTTGAGTGCAATTCCTCTATGGACATTAGTGTGCTGAGAATTATGTTCTGTAAGCACCATCATGGAATGAAATTGAGTTCAGTTTGTAACTTCAATTAATATTATCAGGCAACAAGAGTAGTTGGTTGATGCCATCCCTAGAGGATTTCATCTGGTTATACAAACATTTCTAAAGCTATAAACTTTCTTAATAAAACTGTGCACCCTCTACCCCGGATTCATTAAAGAAATATGCTATGTACTGTTAAGTTTTTAAAGCACCCTTGATTAGCAGGAATTTGGATTACAGATTGTCAGGATTATTGTAGTTTCCCGGATAAAAGCTGTGAAGTACAGTTTTGAAGTCAAATCATTGACTCACTATGAAACAAACAGCAGCATCAAAAGAGCTGTTTGTGACTGTTCCTCTTGTATCAAATACTGGAGATTAGTAATCCATGTGAGTAGAGAGAAACAGCGAGAACACACTTTGATAAATTTCTCTGGATTTAAGTAGTGTCTCAGGAGTGAAGTGAACTATTACAACCTGTTAAAGGATTTTGTATTATGTATTTTTTTAAAACAAGTTAGTTGTTGCCATAGCTATGTACAGCTTACTCTGAACAATTAGTTTAAATCACTGCAAAGCTCAAACACTGAAACTATATTAAAAAATGCAAGTCATTCATAAAATCGTAAATGCTGGAAACTGATTAACTTTTCAAATCTCAAAGATTATGGAATCTTTCAACTACTGCTCTGGCAGAATAAACGCAACATAATTTGACATTCTTATCTTTTACCCCAGCTTTACATAGCTATAGCCTTGACTAATTGTAATCAGAATTTGTTATTAGTGATAAAACATTGCTCCATTCTGGCGACTGGATTTTATGGAAAGATATATGTCTATGAAGTTCAAATCTGCTTTCTGAACCTATTACCATAAGCAATTTCAGTCATAGGATTATGTTCAGTGCTTCAAGGATATCGGGTCTATATTTTAGGTTGAACACTGCTGTTATTATAAGTGTACTTAAAGTAACAGGATTTACTAGCGTCCAAACATGACTGATAGTGAATTAGCAATTCCAATATTAATTCTCTGGAAGCAAGTTGCAAGGTTTCACTTGAGTTAACTGACATGGCATACAGTACTGATTGGATTTATTTCATCCTAGTCCCCAGAGTTTCAACTTTGAAATAAATATATCAGCTCAGCAATTTCAATGAAGTTAGAGGTCTTCAAAACAAACATTTAACAAGTAGTTACTCAGTGGTAAGTTTAAGCATTGTTGAAAAAAGGGACATGCTTTCAAAGTTTTTCATTGTGCACTCATCAGGACAAAATCAATAATTCTGAATTCAAAAGGGAGGAATAATTTAACAAACTATAGCACTATTATTAAAATAAAGCATGGAGGATATAGTTCCTTGCTAATACCTCAATGAATCACAGTTGCCAACCAATCAGCATCCTTTGTCATGCAGCATAAGTTATTAGTCCCTTTGAAATTTGACATTTTGGCAATTTGTGTGTGTTCTGATGTGTGCAAGACGTAAAGTTAATTACATAAAATTGCTATTACTGAAAGCTGCTGAAACTCTTAAAGGTAAATTGTCTCAATTTATTAATCTAGTTATCTGCCTCAAGCTAAAATATTGAAGTTCCCATTACACTTGCTCTGAGGTAGAAAGCAAGGTGAGTTCTTTTATATAAGATAACACGGTGTAGAGCTGGATGAACACAGCAGGCCAAGCAGCATCAGAGGAGCAGGAAAGCTGACGTTTCGGGTCGAGACCCTTCTTCAGAAATGGGGGAGGGGAAGGAGATTCTGAAATAAATAGGGAGAGAAGGGAGGCAAATAGAAGATGGATAAAGGAGAAGATAGGTGGAGAGGAGACAGACAGGTCAAAGAGGTGGGGTTGGAGCCAGTAAAGGTGAGTGTAGGTGAGGAGTTAGGGAGGGGATAGGTCGGTCCAGGAAGGACAGACAGGTCAAGGAGGCAGGATGAGGTTAGTGGGTAGGAGATGGGAGTGGGGCTTGAGGTGGGAGGAATGGTTAGGGAGGCGGGGACGAGCTAGGCTGGTTTCGGGATGCGGTCGGGGGAGGGGAGATTTTGAAGCTTGTGAAATCCACATTGATACCTTTGGGCTGCAGGGTTCCCAAGTGAAATATGAGATGCTGTTCCTGCAGCTTTCAGGTAGCATCACTGTGGCAATGCAGGAGGCCCAAGATGGACATGTCGTCCAAGGAGTGGAAGGGGGAGTTGAAATGGTTCGTGACTGGGAGGTGTATTGTTTGTTGCGAACTGAGCGTAGGTGTTCCGCAAAGTGGTCCCCAAGCCTCCGCTTGGTTTCCCCGATGTAGAGGAGGCCACAACGGGAACAGCGGATACAGTATACCACATTAGCAGATGTGCAGGTGAACATCTGCTTGATGTGGAAAGTCATCTTGGGGCCTGGGATGGGGATGAGGGGGGAGGTGTAGCACTTCCTGCAGTTGCAGGGAAAAGTGCCCGATGTGGTGGGGCTGGAGGGGAGAGTGGAGCGCACAAGGGAGTCACGGAGAGAGTGGTCCCTCCGAAAAGCAGATAAGGATGGGGAGGGAAAAATGTCTTTGGTAGTGGGGTCAGATTGCAGATGGCGGAAGTGTCGGACGATGATGCGTTGGACTCGGAGGTTGGTGGGGTAGTATGTGAGGTCGAGGGGGATTCTGTTTTGGTTGTTATTGCAAGGAGGGGTTGTGAGGGATGAGTTGCGGGAAATGCGAGAGACACGGTTGAGGGTGTTTTCGACCACTGTGGAGGGGAAGTTGCAGTCCTTGAAAAACGAGGACATCTGGGATGTCCGGGAGTGGAATGCCTCTTCTCGGGAGCAGATGCGGCAGAGCAAAGGAATTGGAAATAGGGGATGGCCTTTTTGCAGGAAGGTGGGTGAGAGGAGGTGTATTCTAGGTAGCTGTGGGAGTCAGTGGCCTTGAAATGGATATCGTTTTCCAGGTGGATGCCAGAGATGGAGACAGAGAGGTCTAGGAAGGAGAGAGAGGTATTAGAGATGGCCCAGGTGAACTTAAGGTTGGGGTGGAAGGTGTTGGTGAAGTGGATGAACTGTTCGAGCTCCTCGTGGGAGCACGAGGCGGCGCCAATACAGTCATCGATGTAACGGAGGAAGAGGTGGGGGGTAGGGCCAGTGTAGCTTTGGAAGAGGGATTGTTCCACGTATCCTACAAAGAGGCAGGCATAGCTTGGGCCCATGCGGGTACCCATGGCCACCCCCTTTGTCTGTAGGAAGTGGGAGGAATTGAAAGAGAAGTTGTTAAGGGTGAGGACGAGTTCGGCTAAGCGGATGAGGGTATCAGTGGAGGGGGACTGGTCGGGCCTGCGGGACAGGAAGAAGCGGAGGGCCTTTAGGCCATCTGCATGGGGAATGCAGATGTACAGGGACTGGACGTCCATGGTAAAGATGAGGCGTTGGAGACCAGGGAATTGGAAGTTTTGGAGGAGGTGGAGGGCGTGGGTGGTGTCACGTACGTAGGTAGGGAGTTCCTGGACCAAGGGGGAGAAAATGGAGTCGAGATAGGTGGAGATGAGTTCGGTGGGGCAGGAGCAGGCGGAGACAATGGGTCGACCAGGGCAGTCAGGTTTGTGGATCTTGGGAAGGAGATAGAAACGGGTGGTGCGGGGTTGGGGAATGATGAAGTTAGAGGCTGTGGGTGGGAGGTCACCTGAAATGATGAGGTTGTGGATGGTTTGGGAGATGATGGTTTGGTGGTCGGGGGTGGGGTCATGATCAAGGGGGTGGTAGGAGGAGGTGTCAGAGAGCTGGCGTCTGGCCTCGGCGATGTAGAGGTCAGTGCGCCATACTACAACTGTGCCTCCCTTGTCTTATTTCACTTAAAAACTCCATCTCTATTGCTTTAATTGAGAATCTGTTTTAAACTGGACAGTTGGAAACTCAGATTTTGTGTTCAGCTCATATTCTGGGATGTGGAAATCAACATTAATATTACAGTCGTAAAGAGGCTTAAAGACTCAAGAATGACTATTAACACCACAATACCGTGAAATGAAACAAATTTTGCATTAAAATGAAATCACGTAAATTCCTGAAAATGTAGAGTGTGGGTTGCACAGTTTACAATGCTATTTGTTGTGCTAATTATGTCAAAACTCATTTGTATTATGTTTAATCCGGTTGTGTCTAGCAGAGTAAATGACTGAAGTACTGTAAGGATTGATTTTCCAAGCTGAGATTGTTGGTTTGCTCGCTGACGCTGGGTAAGATCATCAGTGCGGTCTCCGATGGAGCGATGTTGGTCTACTCCTCGAGGCCTGGTTTCAATCCGTAATGCAATCAACAAACATGTGGAATTAGATACCATTTACAAACCCATGCAAAAAAGAGCCGGAAATGACACAACCCAACTTAACAGACCAGATCGTATAAATTCCAAGCGGAGTAGAACAACATTGCTTCATCGGAGCTCACACTGATGATGTTACCTAGCATGGTGATGAAACATCGGTACGATAACCAGCCAGCTCGACGAGCAAATCAACAACCTCATCCACAACCCGAGCTACAAATCTTCGCTAGAACCTTAAATTTTCCAACCTGTTACATGAACAAATCTTTCATTGTACTTTATGATGCGTCTATGCATTGTTGTGAAAATGACTCGAGGGGGATAGCTGATCTAGCTCAGTGATGTCATCACAAGAGAAGCCAAAATTTAATTATCCACAAAATGCTGGAGCAAGAAGAGAAAACAGCATTTTTTTTTACATTTAAATGCATTGGAATTTATTTTACACTCTTGGTGGCAGGAGATTACGGAATATTTGTCATAATATTTTTTGTTTGTTGGCTAACTAGAAATCCTCTGATAATAATCCTATTATAAAGATGATCACAATTGTTACCTGCTGTATAGTTGGTTGAATGACAGGGATAATCTGTTTCTGTCGTTCTGATAAAATAATAATGTCATCAATAGCCCACTGGTCATATCCCTCACCAGAATGAATGGGCTGCCACCAACGGAACTGTGTGCAAGCAGTCTTAGCAGAAGCCGGAAGTTCAAAATAAACAAATCTGTTGAATGTAATATAAAACAAAATTATTTCTGTGTATTTAATTGCTGAGCAATAACTTTCTTTCCCCCATTGCTCTGAAAAGAAAAATTCTAATATCCAGCCTTCTGGTGAACCAGGTATAGTTGAGCTTTATTTTTTCCCTCCTGCATGGGTGTAGATGCATGCCCTTTACTTGATGCTTTACTCTGATGGAAATGCTGAATCTAGTAATTCCCAGTTCAAGGCAGTATTGGCCCAAACTTCAAATGTTGAGGCAATGTAGCACAGCTGTATCCACTGCCAGAAATATAATGACCTGTGGGCAGCAGTGCTAATACCACATAGCTGAGGGCTCATGTGGCATGGTGGTAATGTCCCTACCTCCGAGCCAGGAGGCCTGGCATCAAGCTCCATCTACTCAAGAGGTGTATAACAACATTTCTGAACCGGTCAAGTAGAAACTATTTAGACCACATGTGGCAAACGTAACTTCGGCTGGACTTTAGCATAAAGTGATGTTAGTGATGTTTCTATGACAGATCGGAGGAAAGTACTTTTGGCAAGCACCTTGGTGCTGCATGATGCAATGATATCTGGTCACATAATTTCTGAGATCCTTGGTTAAACATTTTATCATTTAAGAATATCTAGGAGTGTGCATCAAATGGGTAAACAGTTGAGGAGTTGGTTGAGGAGTAGATCTTCCATGATCAAACTAAATGACAGAACATGTTCAAGAGATTGATGTTTTCAGTGTGTGCTTCATTGACTAGATATAATAAGTAAGGCGCAAGAATAAATCTGCTTCCTTCCCGAGTCATACCTGGGTTGACTGTAGTCTGAAAAATACATTTCTGAAAGCAGGTGCCAGGTTATACCACCGTTGTTGCTGTACTGCAATAAAACACTTTCCTCTCTGCTGTCTGGTGTGTTACAGGAGCCTGTGTTCCCTCCAATTCGAATGTAGAACTGGATAAAGTCCACCCATTGTGTGTCCAAGTCCCAGCTGACCAGCTGTCTCTTCCCGTTCTAGATTAACAAGTAAAGGTGACACACTTTTAATGTTATACAATCTGATTCTTTTGTTTTTGTTTAACATTGTTAGAGCTCTCATCCTCAATGTACAGAGGAATTGCTGGGGAAATTACTCACAAAATGTGGAGGGTGAAAAAATATCCAAGGTGTTTGTTTGATGCAGAACATGAGAAAGCAAACCTGTAGTCTTGGGCTGGAGCCCAGAGGAAGGTTTCCTTTCTTCCATCTCCAAGACAGAGTGTAGTTCTGCTCACCCCCTGCACCTCAGTCAAGTGGTTATCCTTGAGAGTGGGTGCAGGGTCTGAGTTTAGATTTTTGACACCCACATTTTACAGGAGGGGCTACTAGAGATGCATATTCTGTGTGATCTTCCTTTGCTTTATCTTGGGTCATCAGTCTAACACTCTCACGCCTGGCTGAGGTCACTCAACTCAAGATGCAAATTATTAGGGAATCTACTGTTTGTTTGATTTCATTTAAACATTTCAAAATGGTGTAGAAATCCTCATGTTATGCTAAAACCACTTTTATTTTTGAACAGATACTTGTTCTAGTTGTATTGAATGAGGGATGAATTACCTCTGAGAAGTAGAGTGATGAACCTGAGGAAATGACTCCACATCCTTGCTCCGGTTTGACGATTTGCCCACCAATAACTACCTGCCAATCATTCTTTATCACAGCCTCATTCTCAAAGTCACACGTCACAGTTGAAGGTAACATAGCCTCTGGCTTACAGGCAGATCCATGATAGCCTGGATCACATCTTTTAGGAAAGAAAACAACAATGTCAGGGACTAAATTGTGACAATGCAGTTTTGCATTGTTCATATCAGAGGTATTTTAACTTCATTTATTCTAAAAGTTTGCTGGGATCTCAACAACGTAAATATAGACTGTTAGCTACACAAGCAAACAAGTGTGCAACTAAACCTAACAAAATATGGAATAAGATAAAGGTATTTGGGTATAATTTGCTCTGTCATGGCTGTATTTTGGTTTCAAGCACTCAGAAGATTCTTCATAATTTCTGAGATCCTTGGCTTAACATTTTATCATTTGAGAGTATCTAGGAGTAAGCATCAAATGGGTCAATGTAGTTGAGGAGTACATCATCCATAATCAAACTAAATGACAGAACAGGTTCAAGGGACTGAATGGTATACAATGCTTTTTATACGTATACACAATATGTCAATACTGATACATTATTACATCCACTTACTTGCAGAGACCGTTATGACACCAGCCATGACCATTACACATTTCAGGACATTGTTGACCAATATAAATGTCATCCAATGCCCATTCATCCTGAACCATATAGTAACTCTGGCTCCAGCGAAAACGTGTAGCACTTGACCTGAATAAGTAAAAAAAAGTATTGGTTTTAAGATTTATTTTATTTATTTATTTTCAGAATAAATGGTGAGTGTGAGAAACCTTTAAAATGTGGAGACCATTAGATCTCAGGAACTTGACAGTAGTCATTGTTACAAAGTATACGGGAAATTTATTGAAATGGGAGGCAATGACATAACTGGTAACATCACGAGACTAGGCCACCAGAAGCTCAGGCCAATCCTCTGAAGACATGAGTTCAAATCCCCATTGAAGGAATTTAAATTAAATGAATACATTGGGAATTAAAAGTAATCCAATGAAAACAACAAAACCATTACTAATTGCATATCAGGGAAGGAATTCCTTCTGTCTGGCATACAAGAGACTCCAGACCTGCAGAAATGTGGTTGATTGTTAAATACTCTCTGAAATTGCCTGGCCAATCAGTTGTACAAAGCCTAAAAATAGTATGACATTGGATGGACCACTCAACATCAAACTAGGCACCACCTCTCCCAAGCTGATAAGTCAGTACTGTTTCATATTAATTACTAATGGAAGCAGCAAGGGCACAGAATTTACTCTGAGGGCATTTATCACTCAGTACCACCACTCTTGACTGAACTGGTAAAGTCCTAGAGGACATTGCTGCTAGACTTGGCCTGCAGCAGGTGGAAAAGGAAACAATGAAAGTAAAAAACTTACTCGACCTCAACCACACCAATCTACCTGTTCCTGACATATCTGTCTATCAGTGTCAGTGGAAGTGACTGCTACACAATCCTTGTGAAGATGAAAAATTCCTGTTTTCAGACCAAGGCTAACTTCCTTCATGTTGTGTGCCACTACCAAGGTGTTTGTTGAATGCGATAGATTTCAAATAGATCTATCAAGTTAAAATTGGATATCTATAAGGCACTGTGGGCCATCAGCAGCAGCAGAATTATATTCAAGCACACTTTGTAATGTATGACCCAGCATATTCTTCCCCTCTGCCATTCCTATCAAGCCAAGGGACAATTCTCACTGATGCTCAATTTGAGTTCCATCAGAACACTTGGCTCCTGACCCCTCATTACAGACTTGGGCAAAACTGCTAAACTCCAGAGATGAGGTGCGAGTGACTGCTCATGAAATCAGGGCAACATCTGACCAAACATGACATCAAAGTGCCATTGCAAAACCGGAGTCAAGGGGATATAGGATGAAAACTCTTCAATGGCTGGAATCATACCCAACACAAAAGATAGTGGTTGTGTTTGTTGGAGGTCAGTCACCTCAGCTCCAGGACATCTCTGCAGGAGTTCCTCAAGTTAATGCCTTACATCCTTTCATCTTCAGCTGCCTCATCAATGACCTTCCCTCCATCATAAGGTCAGAACTGGTGAAGTTCATTGATGATTGCTCAATACTTAGGACCATTTGCAACTCCTCAGATACTAAAGCTGTCGATGTCCATATGCAACAAGACCTGGACAAGTTCACACATCGCATTGATTTTGAACAATGTTGCCATTTCTTCACTGTCACAGGACCAAAATCTGGAACTCCCTTCCATACAGCACTGTGGGTGTACCTACACACCACGGACTGCAGTGCTTTAAGAATCACCACATTTTAACGGCAATTAGAGTCAGGCTCCACTGCCTGCAATGGCTATACTCCATGAATGCAGATAAAAACACAGCTCATTTGGTAAAAGTAACTAAGCCATACAGGCCACAGGTGCCAAATTCATTTTGGCCTATCTTAAATTGGATAGCAGGAAGGGTGCCAGAACAGCTAGAGAGAGGAAAATCAGCCGTAGTTCCTGGTTTTGATTAATAGTTTTGAAAATGCATACCTGAGGACTGTGTGTTTGGTTGTAATAACAACCTAGCAACACTCACTGTTCAGGTTTTTCTTGAAGGAGGATTGCCAGGGTAGTATAACAAAGAGCAGCCACTGCTCTTGCAATTGTTTCTCAAAATGGGTCATCACCTCCCATAAGGAAGGTAGAAATAAACAGTTAGGACCAAATTTTCATTTGCGAAAAATATATTTCATGCAACGAAATTTGGTGTTGCTTAGAGACTTTGCTCTGCATTGCTGTTTAGATAGTGAAATCAACAGAATGGGGTTCCTCATATGGATCTTATTTGGAATCTGTGTGCACACATTTGAGCATACTTCACTATAATATGCTTCCAAGTCAAATAAATTTCCCTGATTATAGTCAAGCCCAAAGCTACGATAAAAGAAGTTAAACCTCAACAAAATAAATCCCAAGGTTAGGAACATTGGCTCAAAATAGAAAATGATAATTTCCAGTATCATTGAGTCCGATGTGCCCGCCAGTTTGTCAAATATTGCATTTGGCACCTGCAGATTTATACCACACTAGTTGAAAATGCCACTCCAATTACATTATTTAGAAGTAAATCTATTTTTTTGGAAAACTGTCTCTTGTCTCCCCTCATAATGTGTGCTGCTTCCAAGATGACATTTCTTTTCGGGAGCTCTTGCGTCACTTTTAACATTCTTTTTTGGTCTAACAGAATATCTGGATTATTGATTTTAAGGCAGGTAGGATATGTCACACTCATGGGATAATCTCAGACTGGTTTTCAAGGTCAACCACTTAGAAAGTTCAGATGATTATAAATGGATGTAAGAACAAGCTCTTCCCTGTCAAGAGCTGGATAATGTAATAACATTTGAATATTTATATTCAAAACGCAAATGTGCTAATTAATCTGTGTTTGTAAAAAGAACTGTCCCTGACAGCTGCCTGCATCTCATCAGCAGGTCTGATATGAAAATATCTACAAATAAAAACAAATTCATTTTCATAAAGCAATAGCCAATGCAATTTGTCTAAGCTGCATTTGATTCATTATCTGATTGGAAGACAAATGGCAGGTTTAGTGCAGCAGTTTTCATTAAACGTCCTGCAACTGCTTTATGATATTGGTGCCGAGATTAAAAAATCCCTTCTGACATACATGGACATGTTTAAACACCAGTCTTCTTCGTGGTTGGAATGTTTTCACTGTGATACTGAAGAATTGCGCCTTTTCAATCAGTGTTAAACAGAAACTTGTTAATTTTTTACGGCTATTAAAGAGATTAAGAATTCATTTGAGTCAATAACAGCTGTTAAGATAATTAAAATCGTAGTCACAGGCTGGGGAGGAGCCAATTATAGTCCAGTTACCTGGAGTCTTTCATTTCATATTTTGCAGATTTAGTGAAGAGACAGTTGGTGGGGAGACAATGATTCATTTTGCATTTGGCCCATTCCCAAGATTAATGCTTGCAATGATTTTCTTACCATGTTTTTTGTTGAAGGGACACAGTTACTCTTTTCCACTGCGGGAACTCTGAGGAATGATAAACACTGGCAGAGGTGAATTCCTGGCAACTGGGCATGCTGGGAAAACATTCCTGCAGGAAAATATGTCAACCCAGAAAATATCAAGATGAGCAAATTTTTAAAATTCCACATCCATCTGTTAAAAGGCTGCAAATATATAATTTTGGAATTACTGCATTAATGTTGATTCAAAGTTTGCAAAGTCAAACTAAACATGTAGAATGAAGGAAGGTGCAGGAGAGAGATTTGGGTTCTTGAGGTTTTGGGACCAATTCTGGGAAAGATGATATTTGTGTAAGCTGGACAGGTTGCACCACATTGGGTCTGGAACCAGCATCCTCTCAGGGACATTTGTTAATACAGTGGGGGAGGCTTTAAAGTAGAAAGCAGGGGGACAGACACCTGAGTGAGGAGGCAAGATTGACGGAAATTTTGATGGAAGTGAAAATTTGACAAGTAGAAAACAAAGGAAACTAGCACCATATTAGAAACAAATGTGTAAAAATGTCAAAGTCACAAGTTTAAAGATTCTATCTCTGAATGCATGAACATTTGTAATAAGGTATGCAAATTAATAGCACAAATGCCTCTAAACAGTTACAATATGATTACGATTTTGGAGACATGGCTGCAGGGTGACCAAGACTGAGAACTGAACATTTAAGGATCTTCAATCTTTAGGAAGGAAAGGCAAAATGAAAAAAAAACAGATGTAGTTAGTGAAAAATAAAATCAGTGCAGAAAGGATGTTAGCACTGGAAATCGACAAATGGAATCACTCCAGATGTAGATAAGAAGCAACAAGATGCAGCAAACGTTAGTGGCAGTTGTCTACTGACCTCCAAACAGTAGTGGTCAGGTAGGGGATGGCAATAAACAGGAAATGAGAAATGCATGCCACAAGGGTGCCACAGTAATCATGGGTGGCTTTAATCTACATACAGACTGGACAACCACAATAGTACTGTGAAATCTAAAACCGTTTACAAGATGGTTTGCTCGAATTGTACTTTCAGGAAGCAATTAAGGCACAAGCTAGCCTAGATTTAATTTTATGCAATGATAAGGGGTTAGGTAATAATCTTGCTGTGAGAGACCCTTTTGGAAAGAAGTGACATGATAGAATTCTTCACTGGGATAAAAAGTGAAGTAGTCCAATCCAAAACTAGGGTCACAAATTTAAACAATGGAAACTATGAGGATCTGAGGGGTGAGTTGGCTGTGATAGACTGGGTGATTTTATTAAATGGCATGACAGTGGATAGGCAATGGTTAATACTTAAAGAACATAATTAGTAAGTTTGAGGATGACACTAAGATTTGAAGCGGATAGTAAAGAAGGTTATGTAAGATTACAAAGAGATCTTGATCAATTGTGTCAGTGGACTGAAGAGTGGTAGATGGAGTTTCATTTGATAAATGTGAGGTATTTCATTTTGGTAAAACAAACATAGACAAAACTTATACAATTAAAAGTAGGGCCTTGGGCAGGTTTGTAGAACAGAGATACCTAGGGATTCGGATATATAATTCTTTGAAGTTTGCATCACATCGTGGATAGGATGGTTAAGAAGGCATTTAGCATGCTAGCCTTCATTTTTCAGACCTTTAAATATAGGAGTTGGGACATTATGTTGAGGTTGTACAGTACGTTGGTGAGGCCTCTTCCAGAGTACTGTGTCCAGTTCTGGTCTCCCTGTTGTAGGAAGGATATTATTAAACTGGAAAGGGTTGAGAAGAGATTTACCAGGATGTTGCTGGGAATGGAGGGTTTCGGTTATAAGGAGAGACTTGATAGGCTGGGACCTTTTTCACTGGAGCATAAGAGGTTGAGAGGTGATCTTATAGAGGTTTATAAAATAATGAGAGGTATAGATAGGGTGAATGGCAGGAGTCTTTTCTCTAGGATGGGGGATTTCAAGACTAGGGGGCATATTTTTAAGGTGAGAGGAGAAAGATTTATAAAAGTCATGACGGGCAATTTTTTTTACACAGAGAGTGGTTCACATGTGGAATGAACTTCCAAACAAAGTGGTGGATGCATGTGCAGTACAACGGTTAAAAGACATTTAGATAAGTATATGAATAAGAAATTTTTGGAGGGATATGAGCCAAGCGCAGGCAGGTGGGGCTAGTTTAGTTTGGGATTATGATCGACATGGATTGATTGGACCAAAGGATCTGTTTCCATAAAATATGAATCTATGACGCTATAACAAATGCATGTGTTGCAACAGCTATATTTTTGTTTTTGGAAAAGAGCACGGTAAGAAAAGTAGCCTAACTATGGCTAACAAAAAAAAGTATAGTGTGACATCTAAAGAGAAGTGATATAAAGTTGCTAGAAAAAGTAGCAAACTTGCAGACTGGGAGCAGTTCAGAATAGAGCAAAGGAGGACAAAGCAGTTGATTAAGAACGGAAGAGTAGAGTGAGAATACATTTGCAAGGAACATAAAAGTTCAACATAAGAATTTCTACAAATAAATAAAAAGAAAAGAAGTAGTGTTGATGAATGTAAACTCCTTACAATCTGAATTGGGAGAATTGATAATGGAGAACAAGGGAAAGGCAGAGCAACCAAACAACTACTTGATTTCTGACTTTGCAGAAGACAACATAGATAACTTGTGGAATTCAAGGAGATTAGCAAACAAAAAAGTGCTCGAAAAATTAATGGGACTGAAAGCTGATAAATGCTCAGGGCATAATAATCTTCACCAGACTGATTCCTGGGCTGGCAAGTTGGTCTTATGAGGAGAGATTGGGTCAACTGGGGCAATATTCACAGAAGTTTAGAAGAATGAGAGGTGATCTCATTGAAACGTAAAATTTAGACAGGGCTATACAGACTGCATGCAGCGATGATGCTTCCCCTGTATGTTGGTGGTGTGCGGACAGCAAGAGGTCAAAGTTCACAGATACTCAGTAGGTCATTTTAGACTGAGATGAAGGGAACTCTCTTCACTTAGAAGGTGGTGAACCTGTAGAATTCTCTATCACCAAAGGCAACGGAGGGCAAGTCACGAAATACATTTAAGAACAAAGTAGTTAGATTTCTAGATGCTCAAGCCTAGGGGTTTGGGGAGAGAGTCTAGG